TTAAAAAAGAAAACAGTGTGATGCAAGATCCATCCTCTGTGGTACAATCAATTTCTATCACACTGCAACAATATTAACTATAACTTATATATCTGAAATTATTTTAAAAGTTAGAAGCATTTTAAGCATTAAATTATACAAAAAGAGCTTTTATTATATTCTTTATTATTAACTAGAAAAATGCTAGTTTTACAAATATACCCGTATTAATGTGCTCTCCCTTCACCATGAACTGGCCATCTATATTATATGCATAAGACCTAAATCACAGTTTCAGTCTATTTAGAGTAACTTTGTAAGTTATGGTGTACCTTCTTTCCATTAATGTATGCTATAACTTCTAACCCTACGGATACATTCTGTTCTATTTACATATTTTAAAATGTGTCGAGGCTTGCTTTTAAAATTCTTAGGAAACAATTAGAAGTCTTAGAAAATAATACTTGTATACTATCTACCTCAATCTTGTTAAGAAAAACAGAAACATCCAAGTCATTATACAGGAAAATATGAGCAACTTCTACTTCATATTTTTCTCACCTTTTCTGTCTGGCTTGAGATTCCGATCCACTGGTGGTGGTTCACATTCTACAACAGGTACTGACCTTCTGGGAGGAGTCTTTGGACTGGACCTGAAACCCATGTGAGCAGGAGGAGGGACTTGCATTCCAAATAATGAAAAATCAAATGTGCTTGGGGTCATTGGTACATAGTTTGTTTCTTGAATGGGTTCAGTGAAGCTGCTGGAATGCTGCCGTGGTGGAGAGTTGGGATTCATTGGGACATAATTTTCATCCAGTTCTTCACTTGAAACACTTCCCACTGTCAACATGCTTCTGTTCTTCTAGAAATAACATACATTTCCTTTCATAAAGTAATCATTTATGTTACCTGCTGTAAATTAATTAATCTTTTAGCATCATATATTCAGTGTAATTTATTTTAAGATACATCACTCCACATCATTGCTTTGTAAAAGGGAACAACGACTGTGCAAGTGCTTTCCCATTCCCTAGTCCCACATGAGATCAAATCATACTTACAAAGTGATTGTGGAAACCTTCCAATGAGCTAGATCTGTCATTTGGAAATGTTCGTGGAATATCATAGCAGTCTTGAGAACTAATGTCTAAAGAAGCAGAGGAGGACAAAGTAAACATTTATTTCCTGAGCTCAGCTGCTGTCACATAAATGTGCTGCACCAATTATTTACTATCTGTTACTTTAAATCTACAATCAAATGCAGTTGGGAAGATGCACAGGCTCTACATGACAGTGCAATATAGTCTAAAAGATTTTATCAATATACATTTGAGATGAATGCATTATTTTTTGAGCAGACAAGGTTCTTTGGATAAATGTGATACATCTTTTATTAGACCAACTAAATAGCTGGAAAGTGTTCTTTGCAAGCTTTTGGGTACAAACACTTCTCTGTATTACATGTCATGATTTTAAGATTTGCCATTGGCATTTTCTAGGGTGAGAAACTGAAGGAATGTCAATGCTGCTTGTTTACTGTGCAAGACAGCAGTGACCTTAAAGACACTGTGCTGCTCCACACAACTGCCCTCTAACTGGAAGTAACATGGAATCATTTGAGTTGCACTGCAAACAGCCTAGTTAGAGCATTCCCTGGGCCTGGCATACTATATTTGCAGTATAAATATACCCAAAGTAGCATACCTTACTGAACACTTGAAAATGTCCTATTTCCATATGGCATAAAACACCCATGTCTGTAAAGAGTGCATTTTAAGACACTGGGCCTTAAAACTTTAATTCTACTCCAGAAAGTGACTTAAGAATAGAATTGCCTAGTGGAGCTAGTCAGAAGTTTTCTGACAGAACAGTCTTCTGTTGACACCCTGATCTAGTGGACTGCCCCAAAACCAGGGTTCCTAGGACTTCCAGGCTCACTTTTCATTCTGCTCATCTGGTGCTCCTTGGACTGTCCAGCTGGTAGGGTCCTGACTGGCTTGATGACCCTCATCAAGCCAGTCAGACAGCCAGAGAGCTGGCCTAGAAAACATTTTTAAAAATTTCCATTTCCCTTTTTCAGAGCCGCTTGTTTTGAAAAATTCTATTCCATGGGAAAAGCTGTATTTCTGAGTTATGGATCTTTAATTAATCTAAGCTCAGAAGAAAAAAAATACTGGCAGAAAAACTAAAAGTAAAAACTTTGCCTTAGGTAAAAACAGGTTTTTGTATGTAATGTGTACAAGTGCAGAAACATCCAGGAACACATTAAGGCTTGCTGGAGAAATATACCAAAAAGTTCAGGAATACATGACTATTACAATAATCTAAAAGAATATTTCCACTTTTATGCTGCAATCCGTAAACACTTGATCAGAATGCACTGCACTGTATTACTAGAGAGAAGATCCAAGTTTATCTAGCAACACCTGGCCTAACACAGCTACCACAGAAGTCACAGGACTCTCTTAATTGAATTCAGCATGACTGGTCCACTTATACTGGTGGTTCTACAAGACTGACACTTGAACTCTTGAACACTTCTAACGAGCTTAATGGCAGCAAAAATAATTAACCACAAAACAAAGACAAATCCAATATTTGAAGTCATATCAATCTGCATCACTCAATTTTACACTGCACATAGACATACTTTCAAACGCCCTACCTTTTGCTACACTAAGGCCACATACAGGTATTACAATTCTACTGGGAGAAAATCGCCACTACCCCAGTAGAAACTAGGAGCATACAAATGTTCAATTTCTCCTGAAGGAAACATGCCCCCTCTGGGAGAAAGATCTTCTAGGTTGACATGAGTTTCTCTCACTAAAATGAACACCTGTACACTTCTGCTCAACTCCTCTGATCAGGAAGCATCAAGCAGCAGCTCTAGCAGCTCCCCCTGTGCCTTCCCCAGACCAGGGTGACTTTGGTCTGGGGGGGTGGTATTTCCCCACTGCTCGACTCCTCCCAGTCATGGAGGACTTGAGCTGCCATTACCCCTTTAGCCTTCCCAAGACTGGAGACACCCTGATTTGGAAAAGGCACTGGTGTGGGGTGGGGAGCATTGTCCCACAGCCCCCTCTCCTCCCATGCACTACCTGCTGTTCCCCACTCATTCCCCAGACTCATGTCCCCATTTTGGGGAATGAGCAGGGAGCACTGCCCTGCTGCTCCCTCTGCTCTGCTCTCAGAGACCAGAAGCAGAGCAGAGAAGCACCCTCTTCACATATCAGGGGATGTCTCTAGTCGGAACATTGCCCTAGCTGCTTCCTTTCCTCCCTCCATGCTTCCCCAGACCAGCACAGTCCCAGTTTGGGAAAAGTGCAGGGAGCCTTTAGCCGTCACTGCTCCAGTCTGGAAGGTACAGGGAGCAAGGGAGTGGGAATTTCTGAGAAAAATTCTACTGCTATGAAAAAAAACACCCTAAATAATCTATGAGGTCCTTTCTGACACCACAATTTGATTCTATTCAATGACTAGATTCTAGTCACCATCCTGAAAGAACATCATCCCAATATGCCCTGTGTATAGAAGGACTACGTGGGAGGACTCACATGAGGCTGACTCCTCTAAACTAAATGCTACCCAAGCCTTTCCCTATCAGAGGGATTTTGTAGATAGCACTTTGAGACAGCTTTCTAGCTGTATACTGACAAAGCATTCAATGATTCAGCTCACAAGCTTTTTATTCACTAGTTCAGAGGCTGTAACTCTTCCAGCTATTAGACCATTACTCATATTTTTCTATCAATCCTGCAAACTAATTATACACTCTGAAAGTCAAGCTGAAATATTTTTCCTTCTTGTGTAAGAGAGCATGCAGGAGAAATTATATTGAAACTATACTTGTGCAAACAGTGTCTGCCTTGAATTATAGCTGCAGCATTCTAGAGATGACTTGGCCAACTGAGTCTTCATTACTGGTGATGATGCATAAAGAAAAATTGACAAGCTGGATGGGCTTTCAGAAACTAAAGCAACTTTAAACAAGTAGGGAAAAAAGGCATGTGAGTTTAGTACACTTGACATGGTACCACTGAAACTCAAATAAACATGGAGCATGTTATTTTTTCCAGAAACATTCTGAAACTGACTTTACACTTGTCAGTGGTGCAGAACAGAGTATTGCTAGTGCTGACCATAGGGACCACTGGACAGGTATGGAGATCTTTGCCTGCAAGGGGAAGAGGATAAACTTTCTTCAGTGGTTTGGCCTGAGAACTGTTTGAAGCTGCTACCTGTTGGTATGCAACATTGATGGATCGACAGGGAAGGTGGTGCAATGGAAATTCTATGAAAAATGCAAGTTTTCATGGGGTTCTCACTACCACATGAGGGGGCATGAAACGTGACTGAAACATAGCATATAAAATGCAAAGAAATACTAATAACTCGTATCAGAACATAATTTGATTGACTATACACAAAAGCTGTCCTAGACAATTTTAACAAATTTCTGACACACGGTCAGGCCAGCAAAAGCTAATAAAACAGCCATGTTGTAGAAGAAGTCATTAAAAATAAGTTTCTATACAACACATTAAAAAAGTGTTGCTAGTCTTTTAAAAAGTATAACATTTATACAGCCTTCCTTTTATACCACCACCTTTTATACTCTTTGTTTTGGTTGAGAATGTCAAAGGATGAAGGGAGTTAAGCCTCTTATTCTCAACAGAAAGTGGAAGCACAACTCCTTTCAATTCCTTTGAAAATCCAAGCCTTCACCACTTATCTCACATGATAATTTAAACAAAAGAGTTCTATAAAAGCAGGCTGAGACATAAATACTAACCTTTTCGAAATATATTCAAATCTACAGTGGAAACAGTATTGCTGCGTGAAGGTGGCATTCCCATTGTAGGGATGCAATAACTGCTGTCAGTGTCTGACGCAGTACGAGTAATGCTACAGGGTTCCACAGGAGATCGATCTGAAGAGTGATGAGGTTTTGGAGGCCGAGGTGGAGGAATATCTGGAATAGTCTCTAGCTTTGAAGTCTGAGCCAATGTTCCTTCTGGAAAAGTTCGTGGAATCTGGTAAGTACCTCCAGGTGTTGGGGGAATGTCATAACTAATGGAGATATGTCTCATCTGTGCATCTAATGATGTTGCTGATGGGGCATTGAAAATATGCTGCTCTCCTTCTGTGTCAGTCCCGGATGGAGATGCTGCCTTTGGTAAAACATCCTGTGAGTAACTTCTAGGCAGATTATAAAGGCTGCAGTCTACAGACACCATTGTAGATCGAGGTGGTGGAGAGTCATAGACACTTTGCTGCTGAAAAAAACCATTCACGGCATGCTTGCTTACCGATGGAGCAGGATTTTTATGAGAGGGTACATTATCATTGCAGTCTGTTTCAGAAGAGGTGGATTTTGCTGAGTCAGCATGAGATCTACACATAAAATAATAAGATTGACATATGGATTTGTTGTATGGTTATAAGATAAACGTTAACAATTAAGGAACAACATAACATTCAAATGTAAGCAACTGAAAGTCATTTAATCCATTAATTCTGAAAGAAAATCAAGGAACTTAATTTACTAAACAAAAGATCTTAAAAAAAAATCTCAAGTACTGTCTCAACTACATACACACACACACAATGGTGTGTATATATTTATCACAGGAGCTCAGCAACATGGGGTTTTCATAAGCAAGTCACTTCTAACAAGACAATACCAGTTTGGATCTCCTCTTTGTTTGTATTTTAAACTATACATCACACTATACATGTATTCTGTACAGCAGAGCACTTGAAACACTGAGGTGCAAATACTGACCTATACCTAGGTTTATGGTACTTGCTTCCTCTCATGAATATGGAAGAAACAAAATTTTAAAATAAAACTTTCTGGAACTTGCAGTATTGGAAGTGCGTGCCTAAAGATATACACTGTGTGTGTGTACAAATTCATGATGTGCTTTAACTAATGTGCATTAAATCTAGTACCTCCATTGTGAGGTACTACAAAAATGCATGTTAGCCTATTATAGTGTGCATTAGCTAAAGAGCATGTTTTTGCAACACTTTAATGCACATTAAAATAGGCTAATATGCATTCAAGCACATGTGTAGATGCACCCACTGTCAACAAACACAGGCCTTAAAAGAAAAGGATACAAGAGAAAAACAACACACATGAATAAAAGCGGAAACTGAAAGCAGAAAAATTCAACTAATTATTGTGGATAAAAAATTTACAGAACATGTGGAACAAACTCTTATTCTTGTCTTGATCCAGACTACTTTACAAGTACACAGTAGGTTCCACATGGCTGCTTTGGAAATTACGTCTCTGGTGAAAGGAACAATCAATCAATTGTTACCAACAATACACATAACAAGAAGAGTACAGCCATGGCATTCTCTTGCTTGGCAAAGAAATTTTCTTGATAATATGACTATTTTAACAAAAAATCAAAATGACTGAAAATAGCAAAAGATAAACGAAAGAGATAGCATTAAAACCTTAGCATGGCATCCACACACTGGTGTCAATCATCCCATGGTATTCCTACTTTAAGTATCACATGAATTTACCATTGCACAGAAGGTACATGCTATACTGTTACAGTTATATATCTACCTTTTTCTTTCTTCAAAAGAACTATAAAAATCACATCAACTTATACAGGATCAAACTTTAATCAGGCCCCATTCAGTCCTGACTTTTGTACTTGCTATTTTTACTGCATGCACAAAAATACTGCAAATTAGAACTTATTTTAGCATTGTTAGTGCATTTAACCCTTTGGATGCTTCCATTGGTTATTTGATTATTTTGTAAGGGTAACAGCAAGCAGGATTTTGTAAAGGACAACAGCAATTCAACATCTTTATCTGTAGTTATCTACTTATATTTTGCAAAAAGCGTTTTTTCCTAAAATTGAACCTGAGAACGTAAAGCCAATTTATATGCAGGATCAACTTATAACTGGAATGATGCAGTCATTCCAGCATGTATATATGTCCCCCCAAACAATTATTCTATTGCCCCTATTATTCCATTATGGAACAGACTAAGGGCAGTTTATGATACTGTTGGAATAAGTATTTCCTAAAGATAAAACAATATTTAAAAAAAATCAATGGTTCTTAGAAGTTGTTATGCCCTTGCTAATATGCATCCTGAGCCTAAACAGCTTACTCAGACCATGTGTCAAATGAAAGCAATAAATGTAAAGATGAGTAAGAATGACAAGAAACTGTCCCTTAATTACATATGCTACACCAGTGAGAGAAAAAGGTATCAATCTGATACTTTTCTACATTGTACAGGCAGCATTCCACCCACACAAATTAAGGTAATGTTAATTGTGCCTAATGACCTTAAGATATATATAGATATATAGATATATCTACATATATCACTTAAAAAAAATACAAACGGAGTAACAAACCTCAGATCACAGCAGGAACACAAAATAAAGTGCACATAGTAAGAAATGAAGCACTTTTTTCACTTTTCCATATAGTTATGGCAAACACCACCATTTACCTATGTCCCAAAACCTACCTCCCTGGTCTCTGAAATTAGATTCCTTTAAAAGAATGAGATGCCTTCAAAATCTTATGCACCAGCTCTGAGCACTTAATGACCTTTTAACAAGGGCTTCTGAGAGGGCTCACAAAAAGTCAAATTTTGTTGAGATGCACAACATGCAGTTAAACCATAAGTGAAATTAGAGGTTTAATGAGAGCATATGAATCCCACTCAACAGAATACTAATAATTCTAATCCAGATAATACTCAATACTCAATGAATTGGCAAGATATTCTTCCTCACTGTTTTTTGGCCATATGAATTAGTGAAAACTGAAAAGATGTCAAGTCAGCTTTGGACTACCTTGAGGCAGCCTCACCAGTCATTCTTTTAGCTCGGTGGCTCCAACATCTGATCCTTAATCCTGATGGTGTGAGAGCAAAGAAGAGATTTAACACTATTATTTTTCTACGCTGACCCCAAAAGCAGGATGTCTGAGAGTGGTGAATTTCCAGTAGGTAACTACTTTGCAGAATTTGTTATAATTTTCAAATGCATGATTAAAGCAAACCATGGAAATTTTTTTTGTCACTGACAGTGTATCAGAGCATCACTATTCATGTTTATTAGTATACACCTCTAAAGGCAAAGTTAGTATAACAACAACAGGAAAACAATCAGCACCTCAAACTGGAGTACAACTGTGACACCAATCTTTTGGTGTCATGGTCCTATCACACATGCTCCTTAAATTGCTTTATTAACAGTTTCAAGTCCTGGTAACCCTAATCCTTACCCACACTTAGAGACCCTCTAATATCATGGATATAAATGGTGTTTACATCAATCTAGCTGCACAGGGGACAGGGAAATTGATTCCAGCTTTCCAGATGGCTCTGCTTAGAGAAGGGGAGGCATGCACATCTTTGAAAAGCCTCTGAGCTACCACATATACGTTTGCCACTAAGCTGGCTCATGCTTTATCTCTTGAAAACTAATTAGTGGCGGAGGAAGAGAAGCAAATCAAAATCAATATAAAAAATATTCAGTCTCAAAGCTGAAAACTTTGAATTATCCATTTCCTATAGTTGTATACCTTACTTTTCCTCTGCAACAAGCCCTACAGGAAAGCAGGACTTACTAAGTCAGGTGTAGTGCTGGGGCCACGCCACTTCCAGTGCAGAGCTTGCTCTAGATATCTGCATGGTGCTACCTCATGCTACATAGACATACACAAAGATGCATACACATAGATGAGAGATGGCAGCAGCACACTTCTTTGGTACCAGCACTCAGGGATGGTAAAAAGGGGGTGTTGGGAGTAAGTGTGGTAAAAATAAGACAACCATCATGACAGGTGTTATCACAATCTTATCTTGGTGATAGTTATTTCCAAACAACTGAAGTTGGGTTTACATTGCTTCTTCTATAGAAAACTCAAAGTTGATCATGCAGGACACATTTGAAAAACACGAAAATCCAGCATTTTCAAGCAGGTTATGCCCAGTGATTAATTTCTCACAAAAATTCAAAAACAACACTTATACACTCACTGCAATGGAATCTTTTTACTTTCAAAATCTTCCAGTAGTAGGTATTCTTGCCCTTCTTCAGATATAAAAGATGACCCTTGGCTGATTTATGAACACAGGAAAAATGAAGCAAGGTCAGGCAAGATTCCTTGTATGTACTACTGTCAACCAACCAGAAATGTAAACTTCGCAAAGACCTCACATACAATTTTTCTTATAAATGCAAAGAACAACTCTCAGTCTTATTAAATGCTACAGTCAAACTCAATGACGGTTTACTAAGAGATGACGATTAATGTTTAAGTTCAGAAATTATCAGATCATAAAATGTCTTAGAAAAAAATAGTGTGGCATGTTGTTGTATTGCTGTATTTTGAGGGTTTTACTTTAAAAACATTAAAGCTGAAAGTGTGGATCAATACAACCCACCAATCAGCCAGAGTAGATGTATGCAGGTTACTCTACTTAAAAAAAAAAAGTAAAAACAATCTGCTAAAATATGAACACTCTCAATTTTCCCCACACCCTAATTATTATTATGGCCTCTTATAATGCGCATCAATTATAAAAACACATTTCAAAAACACTGTGAAGTTCTAGTTTCTTTTTAAAGAGGCTATATCCCATGTAATCTAGTTCAACTTCAGCGAGATGATTATGCTTAATGTTGAACACATGCTTAAATAACTTCCTGAACTGGGACCAAAATATGAAAATCATTACCTTGTTTGCAACAACATTATTTGATAAAAATTGCACAGAGCTAGTTGCTAAACAGTAAACACCCATACTATAACATGTCACCTCACAAGGTCTTCAAATACTCATATCACTTAACCCACCATTAATTTAACACATCCCTTAAATCTAAAGATAAAGCACCAGAGTAACTCAAACCCTTTTTATTTCCTTTACTCTCCCTTCTCCATTCCTTACCGTGTTTAGTCTCCCCACCCAAATACTTTCCATCCTCTTAGACTCCTACTACAATACAATCCCACGGTTCCTCCCAACTTTGGCTCACATCACCAGCCAGCATCAGGAAAGGTCAACTTACATATTTAAACATTTCTGTTTCTAAACATGTTCTTCACATGCTTTCACAACTTGCATGAAAACTAGACTCCTAAAAATATGAGGAGATACTTATCAGCTAGGCTAATGGAACAAAACTCAATTGGAATTTCTATGCCAAGGCATTTTGGACGTGCAAAAGTCTAAAAAGGATTAAACTACATTTTTAAAGATGTGAATTACAGCTAAATCTTAAAACACTAATATTTTACTACTACTAAAAACTTTGCTCATCAAACTGTCCAGAAGAATTCTACCCTGGGAAGAGATCTGACACAAAATTCAATATTGATTGATTCATTCATGGGAAGTTTCTCAGAGGACCGTCTAAACCAGGCTTACCACCATCTGTGTCAACCACAAATTGGAGGACAAGAGGTTTATTTACCTACCCTAGGAAAGACAAGGCACGGGCCCTCAACCTCTGAGTCAGCAACAACCAGACTGAGAAACTCTTCTTTTCCCATGGCCATTTTACCTTAGTTTTTTGTCCTTCCGAATGCCTGATTCAGTAACAGGAAAACTTGGCGCACAGACTAGGTATAGACAGAGAAAGCAGTACCATTGACAAGTTTGGCCTTGGGGAATGCACTGCAGATTCAGGAAAACACTTTCAATAGAACTTTCCTCGGTCTTTAATATGCCTCCCCACAATCAAGATAATAATGAGCAGACTTTTCTGGAAATGCATGGGGGGCCATTACTTCTAACTGTTACAGAAAAACATCTCTGCAGAGAGTTTCCTAATGTTTTCCGATGACCATTCTCAGAAACAAAGTGATGGCTCCTGTACATTTGCCACTGCATATTTCACACTCCTAAACAGGAGGCATATATGTTTCCAGTTAAGCTTAAGTAGTTGTTACTTGAGTATGTAAAAGTTTCCGTTAGAAGACATTTTTAATGTTTTTTCTCAACTTATCTTCCTACTCTTCCACAGGGATAATACTATGGCTGATCTCTACTTAATATTAAATTGCACGCAGTTAGACCATACAAATAACAACAATATTTTCTATATAGCAAAAAGAATATTGGCAGTTTCCAAGCACTAGAAGGTTCACCAAGACCCCTGGAAAAGCAATCTATCTTTACTCTCTATATAATCTTGTTTGAATCTGATTCAGAACAGTAATAACCAAAAGACTGTTTGTTGGCCAAATGATTTAGTTGACCTGAGTCCATATTTTGGTCCACTACTGTTGTAACTGGCTTTCCTCTCAGGAGTCATGTTAGAAACGTCAGGTAGTGCAGAACCAGAGCTGGAGAACAGCTTCTCCTGTTCCTAGACCTGGTTTGAGGTACACTGGAAAATGAAGGAAGAAGCATGTCTTGGCTATCCAAGCTGTACCTATTCTGAAAGTTTACAGTGAAGCCCAGGCTCTGGGGCTGTTAATCTGGCAATTTTGTTACATAAAACTATAGGTAGAGCACAACAAGTTCTGATGTGCCAACTTACTATGGCTAACACAAGAAGTTTTGAGTGCAGAAAACAGACAAAGGAACAGAAGAAGTCTGGGTAAAGATAATCAAGTCTAGTGAATCTGAGTTGTAAATGACTTGAACAAAAATACAAGAAAAATGCCTGGCAGCAGTAAAAAATTTTGGCATATTACACATGAATAACTATATCACAAGAAGAAAGGTTCAGACCTCAGGTTGGGGAGGACCTGGTTAGAGAGCTTCTGGAGGGGCTGGACGCGTTCAAGTCAGCGGGTCCGGATGCTCTCCACCCCAGGGTGTTGAGGGAGCTAGCTGGGGTTATTGCGGGGCCCCTGGCACAGCTCTATGAGCGATCGTGGTGCTTGGGCCAGGTGCCAGATGATTGGAAGGTAGCAAATGTGGTCCCCATCTTCAAGAAGGGGAAGAGGGAGGACCCGGGCAACTA